GACAAGTTAATCAAGAATATATGTAGTTTGACTTGCATGGATCCTTGTGAAACACCTCAAGCTAGCATCATTAGCTCTATGGATATCGTTGATGATATGGATGTTCTGTCCTCGCGGAGCAACGCAGGAAAACAAAAAGCAAAAGTCGTGTTGGCTGGTGGCGAAGATAGGTCTAAAGTTGAGGGTTTTATCACAAGGAGAGGATCTGAACTTGCGTTAAAGCATTTAAGCTTGAAATTTGGTGGTTCCTTGTTTGACAAACTCCCAAAATTGTGGGATTGCCTCACTGAGGTTCTTGTTCCCGGAATTCTTGCAGATCAACAGAATATTGACCTTAAAATAGAGTCTATTTCGGATCCACAGGTCTTGATAAACAACATCCAGGTATACCCAGTGAAGTGTTTGCATTATTTGAAGGTTTAGTTTTAGGGATATGCCACAAATAAAGCTTAATATTGAATATGCAGAGCTGTAACTTGGTGAACTTTTATTTTCTCTGTTTTTCAGGTGGTACGTTCAATAGCACCAGTGATGGAAGAAACATTGAAACCTAGACTACTCAGTCTCCTGCCTTGTATTTTCAAATGCGTTCGCCATTCCCATGTGGCTGTTAGATTGGCTGCTTCTAGATGTGTTATGACAATGGCTAAATCAATGACAGCAGATATCATGGCAGCAGTAGTGGAAAATGCTATTCCAATGTTGGGAGATTTGACATGCATTAATGCTAGACAAGGTGCAGGAATGCTTATTGGTTTGCTTGTTCAGGGACTGGGTGTAGAACTGGTTCCGTATTCTCCTTTATTGGTTGTTCCCCTCCTGAGATGCATGAGCGATGTTGATAGTTCAGTCAGGCAGAGCGTGACACGTAGCTTTGCTGCCCTTGTACCTATGCTTCCATTAGCACGTGGTGTTCCCTCGCCTGTAGGGTTGAGCAAAGATCTATCTAGCAATGCAGAGGATGCAAAATTCTTGGAGCAGTTACTTGACAACTCCCATATAGATGATTACAAGCTTTGCACTGAGTTAAAAGTTCAATTAAGAAGGTAATCTAGTCGAGCTTTGCACTGAGTTAAAAGTTAAAAGTTCAAAGTTCAATTATGATTAATTGAAAGTTTTTTTTTCTGTTCTAAGTGTCTCTGTCATTCAAGGTTTCTGTGTTGTTTTTTCACTGGTATTTTTTCTGTTTTTATTTCCTGGGTTTTCATAATTGCATCTAAACAAAATTTAGGGTTTAGTTTGTGGGGAATATTAGGGACTTTGAACTTATCGCTGGTGTGAGCAGGGTAGAATTCGGGAAATTTGGTCTTGTCCTCGCCCACCAAATTAGACGTATTCCATAATGTAAATTAATTTCTATATTGTTGAATTGATTCGAGAGGGAACTGTAACGCTTCCGAAATATTATCCTGGAATATTTATCAGTTTTCCGCTTTCAGGTATCAACAAGAAGGAATCAATTGGTTAGGATTCCTGAAGCGTTTTAAGCTCCATGGAATTCTCTGTGATGATATGGGGCTTGGTAAGACGCTTCAAGCATCTGCAATTGTGGCATCTGATGCTGCAGAGCGTCGCAGTTCAACAGATGGATCAGATGTTTTTCCATCTATAATTGTTTGCCCTTCAACATTAGTTGGCCATTGGGCATTTGAAATTGAGAAGTATATCGACCTTTCTGTGCTAAGCGTGCTGCAGTATGTTGGCTCTGCTCAAGACCGTGTTTCTCTCCGTGAACAGTTCAGCAACCACAATGTCATTATAACATCGTATGATGTGGTCCGCAAAGATGTTGATTATCTGACACAGTTTTCATGGAACTATTGTATCCTGGATGAGGGGCACATAATTAAGAATGCTAAATCTAAAATTACATCAGCAGTAAAACAATTGAAGGCCCAGCACCGGCTTATCCTTAGTGGAACACCAATACAGGTTACATTGGAGTGCTCAACTTAATTTTAATATGGGTTCTTTTATCTTGTTACAAAGTACCAATTTTCAGTGATATTGTTTCTTTTTTGCAGAATAATATCATGGAGCTGTGGTCCCTTTTTGACTTCTTGATGCCCGGATTTCTTGGGACAGAGAGACAGGTAGCGCTTATTCATATTCCCTGCTTTTATGTTGTTACAAATTACCAATTTCAGGCTCACTTTTGGAAGTTGTACTTTGGAGAAGTATTTTTGGATATTCTTTGTTGTCATGAACGAGAAAAAATGTGTTTCAGAAATGTGTTTCTCTTTATTGGGCAGTTTCAAGCATCTTATGGAAAACCATTGCTGGCAGCTAGAGATCCTAAATGCTCTGCTAAGGATGCTGAAGCGGGTGTACTAGCAATGGAAGCACTCCATAAGCAGGTAATATTATTTCTGGAGTTCGTCTTTTCCGGTTTTTTACTTTTCGGTGCAATTGTTGGGAATTGGTATCATTACCTGATAACATCTTTGTATCACATAGGTTATGCCATTCTTACTCCGACGTACGAAAGAGGAAGTCCTTTCTGATTTGCCAGAAAAAATCATTCAGGACAGATACTGTGACCTTAGTCCTGTCCAGTTGAAGCTTTATGAGCAATTTTCTGGTTCAGGTGCTAAGCAAGAAATATCTAGTATCATAAAAGTTGATGGGTCAGCAGATTCCGGAAATGCTGATGCTGCGCCAACAAAAGCATCCACACACGTTTTCCAGGTATATTGTTTGCTGCATTGAAAGGCAACATCAATATTTCTATCCACTCCCACTTATCACATTTACAGTATGGAGAGACCTGATTTATGTTTTGGTTTAAATTTTCCAGGCACTGCAGTACCTGCTTAAACTCTGCAGTCATCCGCTTCTTGTTCTTGGCGATAAAGTTACAGAGCCGGTGGCTTCTGATTTATCAGCAATGATAAATGGATGTTCGGACATTATCACTGAGCTTCATAAAGTACAACACTCTCCAAAGCTTGTTGCGCTTCAGGAAATTTTAGAAGAATGTGGAATAGGTTCTGATGCTTCTAGTTCAGATGGCACTATTGGTGTTGGCCAGCACAGAGTTCTGATATTTGCACAGCACAAAGTAATTACATATGGATTAATCCTACTTCTCTAATTTCTTCCATCATTATTTTCCAAAATCTAAGCATGTATGTTATGCAGGCTTTGCTGGACATCATTGAAAAGGACTTGTTTCAAGCCCACATGAAAAGGCGAGTTTGTGAATTCACTCTGTTTTTTTGGAGGACTCTGTTCTGATTAAGTGGTCTCCTATTTTCTGACTTGAAAAGTCTAAAAATTGACCAGCCTATTTTCGCTAAGTTGATTTTTGCTTAGCCTGGTTGTTGTGATTCCATGTTCCTCTCTTAATTTATATCCTTATATCTGTTTCTTTAATATGTTGCTCATCTGTTTTACCATATTCTGAAAAGCAGTGTCACATATATGCGACTAGATGGTTCAGTTGTACCGGAGAAAAGGTTTGAGATTGTGAAGGCCTTTAATTCAGATCCTACAATTGATGTTCTGCTCCTGACAACACATGGTATGCTTTTCTCCAACAATGAAATTCTGCTATTTTGAGTAGATACTCTGTTTAAGTTATAACTGAAATAACTTCTTTTTGCTCCTTCAGTTGGCGGGCTTGGGTTGAACCTGACCTCTGCTGACACGCTTGTATTTATGGAGCATGATTGGAATCCAATGCGTGATCATCAGGTAGAGGATTTATACATTTCTCTTTTGGCTTTCGTCCATGTTATTTGTAGTATTTCACTTGGCAAGGAGGAAGAATGTCGCATCTCTTCCATTTTTTAAAAAGACTATCTGGTACACACAATGGCGTATTGTTATGAGGGTTTGCTAATATAGAGGTGAACAAAATGTGGCAGGCGATGGACAGAGCGCATAGATTGGGACAGAAGAGAGTTGTAAATGTACACCGTCTCATAATGCGTGGCACACTTGAAGAGAAAGTGATGAGTCTCCAAAGATTCAAAGTGTCGGTTGCTAATACGGTAATCAATGCTGAGAATGCTAGTATGAAGACAATGAACACTGATCAGTTGCTCGACTTATTTGCTTCAGCTGAAACTTCGAAAAAGGTATACATTATATTTGATAGCAAGACTCTATCTGAAGAAAGCAGATTGGTATCCTCAATAATCGGGTCTTTTGTTTGTAGGGTGGTGCATCGTCGAAGAAAGGATCAGAGGATAATGATCAGATTACTGGAACAGGAAAAGGACTGAAGGCAATTCTAGGAAACTTAGAAGAGTTGTGGGATCAATCACAGTACACAGAAGAGTACAATCTTAGTCAATTCTTAGTTAAGCTTAACGGATAATGGCCAAAAAAATGAAGAATGTCTGTACATATTTATTCAGCTCGATTCAGGAGAACCCAACAATTTTGACGTTCCAAACACATAAAAAGGTTACATCCACTCTCTTTTTTTTTTTTTTCTTCCTTCTTTTGTTTCGTTGTCGATCTTTTTTGGACACATAGAGAAGAAATGATTTTAAATTATTAAAGGAGAAAACGAGAAAAGAGAGATTTGGAGACAGTGAGTCGTTGGTTTTGGCAATACGACCGGTCTAATGTTTGTGGCCGCCAAAGTAGTTTATGTAGTGATTCTGAATCGTGTAAATATGCTTTTTAACCTCAGCAGCTTTTCCTCTTCGGTTTCAGCTTTTTTTAGTTGGTTTATGTTACAAGTCTTCTTCTACTTTTTCTCTGTTACCTTGTTTTGTCGGTGTTCAAGTACAAAAGCATAAAACAGGTAAAAAGGAAAAAGCATTACTCTTTGAGTAATTGGACAGATTTCTCAAAATCGACACCTATTAAGCCATCATAGTATTCTTAAAGCAATATATAGTTTTCAAGAATTAACTAAACAAACTTATGGTGGTTTCAATGATTAAAACTTGAAAGCTTCATCTTCGAAATGGCTGATCAGATTATAATTCACACACAGAGATTAGTCTTTTTAGTTCAGAATTTCCCGATAATCAGAATAATAATTGAATTTTAACTTAGGAGGAAAACTTGTTTAGCCATCAATGAATCATCTCTTACCCTCTTATGAGTTAATACATAACCTTTTCCGTTTAAAAGAAAAACGTAATCTAATACAAGGAGAAAAACATTGCAACGATAACACCTGATCGCCAAATCGGACTCTATATACACAAATTCACAACCCCACACACAACAACAGTTTGTATCACAACGTGAGCCTAAAAAAAGATAGATAAATCAGTCAACAATGTCAAAGGAAAGAAAAGACGAGATAAGACTCGGATCACCAAATTTCATGAGCAAGTCAAGATACTGCATAGCTTCTTGAGGAGTAAGTCCCTCTAGTAAGAAATCAAAGGAGTTAGAGTGAGTCTCTCTCATAACTTCCAAGCCTTGATTCATCAATTTCTTCTGCTTCTCTTTCCCCATTTCAGCAGCTTCCACCATTGGCAACAAATCTTTCTCTTCCTCTTCAAAATGTGCTTTACACATCATCTGTTTTCGACAACACAAAGCTCAATCATTACAAAAATGTTTGAAGATTGGTGTTTTCTATTGTCTTAGTTTTTTACAATACTTGCCTGCAATGATTTGAAACGAGAAGCAAGACTAGAGAGAGCTTCTGAACAGATGCCAGAGTCCAACACTCCAATCGATTTGATATCTTCTTTGATTCCATTCATCATTGGTAACTCTCTCCCATGTTCTTCATTTGCACTTTTACACATTCCTACACACAACAACAACAACAACAACAACAACAACAAAAGATAAGAATTTGCAGAGAACAATGAAAATTCAAACTCAATCCCTAAAAAGGAAGCATTACCTCGATCAACAGATTCGAGAACAGGGAACAAGATTCTCTCTTCCATTTGAGCATGTTCAACCATAAGCTCTTGTAAATGTGTATAGCTCTTTGCGAATTTCCTAATCTCCATCTTGGGTGTTCCCACCGACGGATCCACAGCTCTTTTACCTCCACGCGCCGCCAGATCCTCCGACCATCTCAACATCCTCTCGATATGCCACAGCATGCTCCTGTGCTGAAGCCAAACCGCTCTCACTATCAAAGGAGTCGCTTCGTCGAAGCCTTCCAGATTGAACTTCCAAATCATCAGACGAGGCTCCGGGAACTTGTCCTCGATGTAACGGAGGAGAACATCCTGAGATCCTGACACAGTCTCCGATCCGACTTGAATCGTCGGCTTTTGGTCTTCCGATGGAACGAAACGGAGCGGAACTTTCTTGTGAAGGAGAGCGAATCGGAGATACGAAGTCACCAGACTGTTAGGTGGTCCGCACAGCCTCACAGTAGCGGCGAAGCTGACGGTGGCTGAGTCAGTTTTGGTGGCCAGAGGAGTGGGGATTCGCGGGGCTGAGACGACGGGGGCGGCGGAAGGAGGAGGTTTGACGACGAGGTCGAAAGGTGAGATCTCAGCCGTGGATTTAGTGGAGCTGGAGAAGCAAGTTCCCATTATTGTCTTTCTTTTTTTGAGGGGGTGCAGAAAACGAAATCTAGAATCTAGATACGAAGATGAAGAAGATGACGGAAGTTGGAAGTTGGAGTGAATTGCAAGAAATTGAGAGTGAGAAGAAGAAAGATGAGAGAAAAGAGTTTGTGTTTGTTTGGGTGGAGAAGAAAAAGGTGTCACGCCATTATCAATATACTACATTTGCCTTAAGCTTTTGAGATTCTCTCTATTTTTTTCTTTTCTCTCCCATTTAAAGAAGCCTTTCCCAAAACAACATTTAATTGTTTTTTTGACCAACCCATTCAATAAACACTGTATCATTTTGTAAAATGAAAAAAAAAAAAAAACAAGAGATTTCGATTTGTGCACTGTCGTCGACATGTCATAATCGTCGTGAGACTACACATGAACTTTTCTGATACTATTATTATGTTAAAACTATTAGTTGTACTATTTGGATTTAAAAATGATGTTTGATTAGCCTTGTTTCTTCACAAAAAAAAAAAAGAAAACAAAAATGTTTGATTAGCTTCTAAAATACAGCAGTGGTTATTTATTTTATTTTTTATTTTTGTCATCACAGCAGTGGTTAATTGTTTTTAGTAAATAAAAAAAGTATTGGTCTGCCTTTATTGTTGTTGATTCGTACACAAATCCCCACCACTGTCTCATACGTAGAATTGAGGATAAGAGAAAATATGTTTTCTTTTATACTTTTTCGATTTTTTCTTTGAATGTTTTTTTTTTTTTTTTGGTCTATGCGCCACCCTGATTTATTATTTTTTGCCTTTTTAAAAGAGATCTCATTTTAATTAAATCAAAATTGGCATTTTTGTATATGAATTGATCTAGTATCAATTTTAGAGGATCTGTATAATAATTATTGCGAGATAAAATGTCTCTTATTTAAAAAAAGAGATCTTGTCGGTAATTGTAATTAAGGAAACCAATTCTTGTTTACTTCGAAATGAAGTTATACTCCCTAATTTAAGTTTAATTTTGAGATAATAATCGGGATATCTTTAAGTATACACTATTAGGTTTAATTTAGATGTATGCATAGGTAGTAGCATCACCCTTGTACTTGGGCCACTGGGCACCTCCCTATTCCCCGTAATGTATTTTTGACAAGATGGTGATGTTTAGAAATTATTAGATTTCCTAACATCTCACACTTTCCTAAATTTGAGAATTGGATTTATAACACCAATGACATTTTAGCATCTTTTTCCTTTTTCTAATAACATATTATGTATATATTAAAACGCAATGAACAACAACACACGGTTTTAAATTGTTGTTTACAGACACTTTATATCGTATATCAAGATAGCGAATATTATTATTACGCAAAACAAACAGTTTTTGCTAGTAAAAAAGTCTTTTTATTAAACATTCAGTGCATCCTTAATAATGCGCCTCATAATGTTTACTTGCATATTAGCCATTTTCTCATGAGATTAAACATTCACTTTAACTTGAACGATGTCTCGTTAATGATATATCTTGGCATACACTCATACTATACATTCAAAGAATCGAAATATGGACATTTTCAAGAGTTATTTAACTCTTTCTTTCGATCACTCAACTTTTTTTTCTATTGAATTTATCTCAGATAGTTTTTTATTTATTTATATATATTCAAGTTTGATTGAATGTAATCCTTCATAGGCTAATAGTAATAGTATCAACTATATATACTCAGCAGGCCCGTGCCAGCTATTTTGGGACCTGAGGCCATATAAGCTACGACAGTTTCTTTTGATGCTTTTTTTTTTCTTTTTCTAATGAACTTTTCATCAAGTTAATGCTAATCAAGTTTAAAAATGACAACTAGAAAGGTTTTTTTTGTTGATAAAAATTCTGGAATTGCAGTAGAAAGTTAAAATATCATTTAGGTAAAGTTTGAAACAATAGATATGGATGGATACAAGTACGATAGAAGTATGGAACACCAAAAAGAGACCTTTAACAATATTTGCTATGCAGTGAAAAAGCTCTCTACTCCAAAATCATCATTCGCAGCTTTATTTTTAGCTTCTGTTGTACCTGAAACCTATATTATTATTATTATTTTGAAAACCTATATTAACCATGCAAATTAATGTACGTATCTCTAAAAATCTAAAAGCCTGAAAAATATCTAAGCTCAAACATTTCTATGATTCTGTTGATATATTAAAATGGTTTATGACCCCATATATATGCATGCAACTATCACCAAAGACCGCACTTCCTAGTGCATATAATGCGTTTTATCTTTGGTTGTTTGCTTATGTTTGTTAGTTATATCATTCAGATTCAGGTCCCAATGTTTACTTTAATCATTCATATATTGATCATTTAAAAAGCATAACCTTCCACTTATGCCTAAAATTCATAAGTCTTCCTGAAAATTGATTGGTTCATATTGATAAGCAATAAAATATCCCTTTATGAAATTATTTCATATTATCCGCTTTATAAACGAGAGATATCAAAGAGAAACGGTGTAGCAGACATGACTTTGTTACTTTATTTTGTTCCTCCCATGTGATTTGCTCTACTTTAACCTCACCTTTACGCTTTGCCTTTTTTGCTCTTTTCTCTATCAATCATCCACAGAGTTAAAAAATGCCTTGTATGAGAACATTCTATTACGCTTTTGGATTCTATCCACAGGGTTAAAACCCTTATCATGTCTTTAACCTATGTAAAAAGGGCATAACATACAATGCTTACACATATCACCATTAAGAAAATAGCTGATCGCATAGAATATAACAGACACGGCAACTTGAAAGCAAAACACAGTTTTTTTCCATTTATATATAGCATGTGGGAGATGATGACGATGACATATGTTATTATAAGTTCCTCCATGTACAAACCAAACATGAGCATGCGTTTTATGTGTTAACACACATAAGATACAAAGCAAGCCAAACATCATGATGAGCATTTAAAGCCTCCACAAGCAACAACCCAAACGATGAGAATAAAAGAGAAAACAGCACCAGCCACCATCAGCTTCATCTGCAGACTCTGTAGCCACATCTTCCTTCTTAGCTGCCTCCCTTGTCTCTGGAAGCTATCCGCCTGGAACTGTAGGTTCTCCGTTTTGTCAACCAGAAGTTCTATCTTCTCTCCTCTGTCCAGAACCTGCGTTTCACAGCAATAACAGAATCATCAAATCAAAAAGCCTGCATCGTTTCATTCTCATAATTAGTATCTATTAACACATGTTGCTTCAGATAAAAGGGGCAAACCCATCTTCTGTCGGAGATGCTATGAAAAAATTCTGAAGTTACTTTGTCTGCCTAACCTTTTCCAGCACCAAAAAAAAACTGAATTTTGTCGAAAATTACTCGCAGTTACTTTGTTTCTAACCTTACAGACAGAAGGTAAATAGAAACATAATCTATAGCAAAAGGTGACAGATGATATACTGTCTTGCATCAGTACTTTATAGCACAACATATTCCTTCCGATGATGAAAAGCAGGGAGTTCATGCTATAATGATCCTATTTAGACATCCCAGTAAATTCTTAAGGTTATGTATATGAACCAAACCGCTCAAAAGGTATAACAGGGGTCTCGAAATCTACTCAAGCTACAGGCTTAGATACTGAAGCCCAATATGTCACAGTTTTACACGACGACAAGGGTCTTGGAAAAAAAACACAGAGAGTAATCCACAAACAATATAACTTACCAAATATTATAGGTTAGCAAAGAATGGTTAAGAGAAAAGCAATTGATACTTAAAACTACCATTTGATCCATTTACTGGTGTCAAATAGCTCTTGTAGAATTTATGTTACGTTCAGTATCTTCCCTACAGTACTTTTTCTGTTGTTGCAAAATCATGTGGATATAAAGGCTACCATCTTCAACTAAACATACTATATCAGCGTGCAACTGTTAATTAAAATGTCTCAGCTTGTTCATCTTTTCCTATAACGACAAAGCTTACCTTCTCAATGTTGTCCATCATAATCCCCTTGACCTCAGTAATTTGGGCCTTCAACTTAGATAGTTTGCTCATCTCTTCTGGATGACTCATACAATACTGCATATGCTCCTTAAGTATGGGCCTATTAGAGAGAAAAGAAAAGAAGAAGAAAAGATTCAGAACATGGTTGCAATGCGAAAAAATGACTGAGATCACATAGTTATGGATATAGACAGACCCAAACTCCCTGTCAAGATTGTATGCAATGCTAAACCGATCTCCAAACAAATCATCATCTTCGTCATCATCTGCCAGAGGATGTTTCTCATCATTCTTTATACTCGCTTCATACCGCTTATTAAAGTCCTCCTTGACCCGTTCAAGGAACACAAAAGGAACACTTCTTCCGGTGGACTCATCAGCAACCACAAGAAACACTATAATATACACACAATCAGAGGCATCACCAAACCAGAAGAATAAAATGGGTTCAAGTCTTCAACTAACTAACAAGTATTGAATACAAAAAGAATTGCTAAGGAAGCTTACCAAAACCATTGTCAATAAGGAAATTAAAAGTGTGACCATCGCAAGAGTAAGTGTACTTGCTGCTATTATTGGGTAGCTTCTGCAGACATTGAACAGCTAAGGTGCTAAAGTTGCCTGAATAAGGAGTATGCTCCGCTAGAACAACTGTTCCTTTAGCTACAAAGCTATAAATCAAACCCTTTTGACTCATTTTAGAACTCGTGAAGCCTCTACAGAAGAAGTCAACCAAACCACAATCAGATCTGAAATGCAAAACCAAATAACACGGAATCATAATCCAGAAATTAATGGGAAAACAATTCAACTACAGATCACTATGTAAATCAGATAAAACCCTAAAACACCAAGATGTTGTGATTTATCATCCGGAGAGCAAATACTGAACATCGTATAGAATCGCGGACCAAAATTGAGAAGATAACCACCGAAGAGCAACAATTAAGAATCATAAAACATGTTCTGATGCTTCGATTAGGTTAAAATTCGACGCAGCTTAAAGATCGGCTCTATTAAGTCCCGGAAGAGAAGCATTTGAGAAGGGTAATAGATGAACGGAGAAGACGAAATTGAAGGAGAAATAAAAAACGCATAGCTTAGAAGCAGGACAAAGAAGGAACATAGAGAGGAGAGAGTACCTTGAGAGTTGGCTTGGTGATGAAGGATTAGGCTCAAATTCTCAGGAATGCTAGAGATGTGCTTAACATCAACCTCAGGAGAGTCTCGTTTTGCAAGGAGATGAAATGGCAAATACTTATTTTAATGCTCTTATTCTTAATCACAAAGCTTACGTACAAAATACTTTGGTTTGATTGTTTTTGGTTTTGGCTCTCGGTTTACGAAAGTACCTAATAAAATTAATAGGGGTGGGCATTTTAACCGAACTGAACCAAACCAAACTCAAAGTGACCCAACCCAAACCATTTACTTGTTGCATATGGAATAATGGAAAATTATTACGTTATGTTGTTGAGTTTCTATCATTTTTCTATCTTTTTAATTTCAAGGCAATGATTATAAATAGGGTATCGTTAGATTTTTTAGCGTTTTATTTGGATTATTCAACTTACAACTTATTGCTTATTTGTATACTTAATCAAACATATGAATTTTGATGTTACATTTTTTGGACCGAACCAAACTGAACATAAACCGATCCGAACACAAATTTAAACCAAACTGACTTTGGTTGAGTTTGATTAGAACCGAATAAACCAAACCAAACCAAACTCAAACTGAACTGGATCTTAAACCGAAACTGCCAAATTAAAAAAAAAATGCTTTCAATTTATATTACATTTCGTATTTTTGAGTTTCAATCAAATAAAAATAGTTGGTCCTAATTATTTGATCTGGTTTAATTTATTGGTTGAAAATTCAAATTGTTTTCAGTTTTTGTATCGCCTATCCTTTGATTTGGTTACTTATATTGTATGCATTTTTTTTTCTTGTAAGTGCAAAAAAGAAAGGGACCAAATCTTTTTTTGGATGTCATATGTGTAAGTTCATCAATCTTTGAATTAGATAAATCCGCAAATCACATTTGAGAATTGATGAAAACGTACACCCAAACAAAGTTGAAAATTTAAACCATAATGTTATATATTAAATACTTTTTCCAATCCAAAAGATATGTGGAGATTGCAGCAAATTAAAATGAACCAAAATATGAAAAAAGCAGCAAAGTTTGGAGAAAAGTAGCACAAACTGGAAACACACCAAAAACAAAAGTGACAACGCTACACTACACTAGTTTCAAAAAGTAATCCCAAACTGCTTTCAGACAATCGTTCAGCATGTCTGAAACACACTTCCTCTCCACATTTTCCTCCTGCAATTACAAACATAACTATTGTCACTTTGTTGAACATTACTCTATAACTCTAGAAGCATGAATTGTTTTTTAAATTGTTACCTTTAGTAGTATAGCGCTCAAGGCTTTTAGTTTGAGATCCACTTCCCTTGTGGTTCCTCCAACTCCAGTTCTGAAATCATATCTGTCAGCATCTGTGATCTGAAGCTTGAGAGTCTGGTTTCTGTATGTAGTAGTTACGGTATGCCAAACGCCACAAACATTGTATCGGTCAGCACAAGAAGATTTCCCAAGAGGCCACTTTAACCCACCTTTCACATTTGGATCTATCACCGCTGAATCTGTCAGCTCTTTAAGGCTTTTAATCTCATTCTCCTGGATAAAATCAAATAACCATGTTTCACATTTTAATCGTGTAATAGTAATCTTAAATACTATGTAACAACTCAATACTAACTTACTGAGAGATTGGTTAATGTCCTTTTTGAGTCAACCATCAGCCTCATGTCAAGATCTTGATCAAGGCATGAGATGTCAAGAACCAGGTGCCTCAAAACATTAAGATCAGTCTGAAGAAGAAGAAGAAGAAGAAGAAAACGAAAGTTTCATAATCATGTCTGAAATTGAAGGAAGATAGGAGAGGAAGAAACTTGCCTTGTAAAAGTTGAGTCGCTTATGTTGTTGGTCCAACTTACATTTACAAAAGATGGCTACCTCAGGACGAGTGTTGTCTGATACCTAAGAAATCCAGAAACCAAACCCTCAAAATTTTGCAAATGAAACGAGAGAGACATAATTATATTGAATCTTTACCAAATTAAAGAGGAAACAAAACAAAGAAAAAACCACCTTCACCAAATACAACTCCTTGGTCTCTTCAATAGAAAATCCCATATCGGGTACAGCTTTATACCCAATGTTTTCAACATAAGACTTTGGAACATTTGTTTGAAAAGATTTCTTCAATTTCTTCAGTGCACTCACTTTAGTCAAGAGACCATCTCTTACAGTTTCTGACGAACCATATAGCAAATTGTTTGTGGAAGGTGGCGTGCCAGGCTCACTACACCAAAATGTATAAGATTAATAAAAGGTTTTAACATGTCAGCACTCAAGCTAGCCACCTCAACAATAGTTTCCAAGCTATAAAGAAACTACATTCCACTACAAACCACCTACCGTAATTACAATGCTAATGCACTAGACCAATACTAACCCTGCAGTATATATGAAAAAAATTGAGGAAAGTCAAACTCTTTACCTGTGAAACAAAATTTTCCCAAATCGAAAGATCAATCTGAGTTTGACCTGCTCGGATCTATAACTTAGCAGCATCTTCTTAGCCCTACCAAACCCCAGAATAAGAACATCCTCCACCTTCTCTGAAACCCATAGCCATGGGTTTTCAGGTTTCACGAAATCACTCTTCACTAAGATTCCCAACGACTTTTCCTCTGTGTCTCTCTTCCATTCTGAAGAAACGGGCACAAGTTGAAGATGGAAGTAGTCTTCGTCGTCGTCATGTACACCAACAAGAAACAATCTCGAAATGTAATCGTAGGCGTAGATGATCGTTTTGTCATCTTTACCAGGCTTTTTATTGAGTTTTGAAAGAGGTGGAACAGAGGATGCTCTCAGTGCGATATTTTCATGTCGTTTATGTGGTGGCACGTAAGACATCTCTGGACAAAATCTGATGATACGGACGAGAGAAAATAAACGTTAGTTTCTTAATCGTGCTTCCGAGCCCACGAGCAGAGTATAAGAACTGAGAAGAAGACACAAAAGGCGTACCTTTATATCAGCTCAAGTATCTATTTATTATTATATACGGCCACAAGAAGAAGAAGGGTCACACAAGAGAGAAATTGAAAAGGCGCAGTGAACTGAAGTGGAAGAGACGACAGGACGGTCTCTCTATCATTAACACTTTATTAATTCTTTTCGAAAACATTATTAATTACTCCCGCTCATGAACTCGAGAGAGTAAAGTAGGAGAGAGACTGAAGAAACAATATTTTCTCATTAATTGTAAAAGTATACACACTGTTTCCTGGTATTTATTTATATACAAGTATTAACATTTTTCTTTTTTTGAAACAAAATATACAAGGATTAACATAAGCTTTAACTTTATAAAATGGCTTAAATGCTAAACTTATTGCTAAGTTCAAAATGTTTTATTTAGGCATTTTATACGGTAAATTTTACATCGACACGTGCTATTGTGCTAGTCATCCGAGTTTTTGCGTAGATACAATCCACTTGGAGTATAATATGACTCACTTATACACATTACCACTAATTTTAAGGATACTGAAGACAATAAAGCGAATAAATTTTGTTTAGAAATTTGATAGGTAATTTTACACATTTTTGAACATATACATTTAAATAAATAAAATTAATAAAAACTTTCATTTTGCAGTTTTTCTTTTCTTAAACCAAAACATGTTCTATCTTAGATTCTACAGTTTTGTAAATATATAAATCAAATTGTTGTCCGGATAAATATTATAGGATTGCAGCATCAATTTATATATTGAATTCAAATCTTAGAGAATCCCATACAAATTATCAAATACTGTTTCTAACACAAAAGATATTGCCACAGTATTAGATGAGCCAAAAACTGAAAAAGCAGCAAAGTGTGGAGTAAGTTGAACAAAATGAAAGGAAAACACAGTGACAACACTACAGTTGTTTCAAAAAGTAACCCCAAACTACTTTCAGACAATCTTTCAGCATGTCTGAAACATACTTCCTCTCCACATTTTCCTCCTGGAATTGTAAACATAACTATTGTCACTTGTTGACCATAACTATAACTAAAGAAGCATGGTTACAAAAATACAAAAAATGTTACCTTAGATAGTTTAGTGCTTAAGGCTTTTAATTTAAGAATCACTTCCCTTGATGTTCCTCCTCCAATGCCAGTTCTGAAATCATATCGATCAGCCTCTCGAACTTGAAGCCTCAAATTCGGGTTTCTGTATGTAGTAGCTACGGTATGCCAAACGCCACAAACTCTATATCGATCCCCGCAAGAATTTTTCCCTAGCGGCCACCTTAACCCACCTCTAACAGTTGGATCTATCACTGCTGAATCAGTCAATCCTTTAAGACTCTTGACCTCATTCTCCTGGATACAATCAAAGACACATATATTTCACATCTTAACCTTATGTAACTTCTTGGATACTATATATGGACTACAGAAAGTACTCAAACTCACTGAGAGACTAGTTAAAGTATTTTTTGAGTCAACCATTAACCTCATGTCAAGATCTTGATCAAGGCATGATACGTCAAGAACTAAGTGCCTCAAACCACTAAGCTCAGCCTGAATAAAAAGCAAACACAAAGCTTCAATAGAATACTCTGGAAATGTGGTAAGAGAGAAGACGAACAAGACTTACCTTGTAAAAAATGAGTCGTTTATGTTGTTGGTCCACCATACATTTACAGGAGATAGTTACATCAGGTTTAGTGTTGTCTGATACCTAAGAAAACCAAAAACCAAGCGTCAAAAATCTTAAAAATTGAATTAGAAACATAATCATGATTCTTACGAATTAAACAAAATTAAACCACCTTCACGTGATACAACTCCTTGGTTTCTTCAACACAGAATCCCATATCATGTACAACTCCATACCCAATGTTTTCAAAATAGGACTTTGAGACATTTGTATAAAAATAATTCTTCAATTTTTCCAATGTCCTTTGATTTAACGAACCATCTCTTAGAGCTCCTGGCGAACTAACACTACATCATTTTGATAAGATTAGAATCGGTAATATCGTTTATTCGACATAAAAATGACTCAACCAATAAGATAATAAACAAATCAAGAATCCCAAAGTCCTTATGCCTACACGAATGTTCAACTATAGTTTCCAAGCTATCAACACATTACAATCCTCTAAGACCAACACAAGGCTTATTATTAATCAACCATGTAAAAAAGAGTTTGTGTGTGTGTGTCTGAAAAAATGAATGATAGAAAAAATTGAGGGAAAAACAAAAGCTCTTACCCATGGAAAACAACTTTTCCAAATCGAGCGATCAGTCTAAGTTTGACATCCTCTGATCCATAACGTAGCAACGCCTTCTTTGCCCTTTCAAATCCCGTTATAAGATCATCTTCCACCTTCTCTGTAACCCATAACCATGGAGCTCCCAGTTTTCCGACATCACTCTTGGCTAAGATTACCAAAGATTTTTCTTCGGCGTCTTTCATCCAGTCTGAAGAAACAGGCACAAGTTGAAAGTTGTTGTCTACTGATTCTGAACCAACGAGAAACCACCTAGTGATGCAATCGTTTGCGTAGATGATCTTTGTATTAGCACTCCCAATGTTTTTATTGAGCTTTGGACGAAGAGAAGGTGGAACAGAGGATGCTCTTATTCCAACATTTTCATGTCTTTTATGTGGTGGTACGTATGACATCTCTGAAAAAAAAATCATATACAAGAAAACTTAAACCTTAATATCAAAAGATAAAAGCGTGCTTCAGAGTTCAGAGCCACGAGTATGAGAAGCAGTAACAAAAAGCGTACCTTTTTATCAGCTCAAGTACCTGTTTAGATAGAACAACTATAACAGGAGAGGATACTGAAAAGGCGCAGTGAACTGAAGAAGTGTAATAGCATCTCCAATGGTGCTAACCATTGGAAGGTGCTTACATATTTTTTTGCATTAAATTTTTAAAAATAAATTTATAAGCAACTTTATCTTGATGTTGAAAAATTTGGTGTTCCAATGGTATAACTCTTAATGAAGTGCTTAAAAACAAAAAATTAATTTAATTGGGAGAATTTCAAAAATACCCCTTTTCCAATACCACTTTGTAAAAATACCCCTTTTTCTAATTTTATCAAAAAGTCACTATAAAATTTGAAATTTATCAAAAAAAAATATGCGAAAGCTTATATTTATAGACACAAACTATCTTTATATGTGTGTAAATTTATACATATATCTCATAAATACCGTATAAATACCTTTTAAAAACCTTTTAAAAATCATTTAAAAACCTTATAAAAACTTTGTAAACCTTTTAAAAACCTTATAAAAACCTTATAAATGCCGTTTAGAACCTTTTAAAACCTTATAAATATTTGGATTTAGTTTCCTAGTAGTAATGATGATCTTGATGTACCTTATCAACTATATAAAAGTTTGTAATTTTTCATATTTGAAAATGGGTATTTTTGAAAATGGATAGAAACAAATAGAAACATTTATTATAATTTATAAAAGAAAACAAGTTATTGCATACTATAAAATATTTAGATCATGATATAAAAGTATATATGAAATCATATAAATTAAAAACGAAATAAGCGACTAGTTGTAATATTGATTTGTGCCAAATTATGAGGAAAATGTTTTTTTTTTTTTCTATTTTTCCACTCACCCACTAATATTTTGACACGTCAGCGGCCCTTAGCTTTTGCTTATAAAGCTAATTTAAGCTACAAAGCTTATGTTTTGTGGTTCATTTTACATTAAATATAATACAATTAATATAAGCAATGTGTTAAGCATTGCATTAAGCATCTCTAATGGAGATGATCTAAGAGACGAGACGGTTCGGTCTCTTTATCACTAGCACTTTATTAATTCTTCGAAATGTGTATAACATTTAATTTAATTAATTTCAATTTTCAATTTCAAAATATTAATTGGTAAAGAAATAGAAGTCTAGTTTTAGAACTCTTTCATTTGATAAGTCATATGATATGTTAAAAATCTATTTTCTTCTAAATTTTGAAGCAATTACAATAGTTGGTCATATTCTACCCAATTTAAATACTAAACCTCATTGCTAAGTCCAAAATGTTAGGAACCTTATAGGATTTTTTTTCTTGTCTTCTCTTTTATAGGACTAACTAGTATTGTTAGAAATCTATCTTAACATTTTTGAAGTACATTTTGTACTAAAATCTATTTTGGCTTATAACCTTTTATTTTGTAATATTTGCATAATTAAACTCTTGCCATTTGAATAAATAACAAAACTTAAAAGTAAATTTTGTAATTAAATCACAAGCAAATCCCAAAATTGGAAACCAAATATTTATTACATAAATTTTTTTCCTAAAATCCCTCTCTAATAAACCGAATCTCTCTCCAATATATTTATATAATCTTATGTGTTTTAAATTTATATTATTACATAAAATATGTTTATTATAAAAATACAAATTTTTTTCCACACATTTTGCAATTTAAATTTTTGAAAACGGACGTAGTTAACTCAATCAATAAAAAAACGAATATATGTATAACGTTTACATAAGATATAAAATTTTAGATAATAGTTCAAAACCTTTATAAATAAGATTAATATGTTTACAACTACAAATGAGCTTGAACTTTGATTTCTCAAGTATCCAAATTAAAACTTTTATTAGCTTAATCCGGTTCTTTATTTAAGGAAAATAAAAATTTTAGAAAGTTTCAGAATATTATAAATTTTAATTTTTTAACAAGTTTAAAATGTGATAAATATTAAAACTTTAAAAAGCTGAAAATTCTGATATTTTATTTAATTTTTATAGAATATTAAAATAATGAAAAATATTTAAACTCTACAAAAATTAAAAGTATTACTAATATTTTAACTCTACAAATATTTAAAATATAATAATATTGGACATAATATGATTGAACGGGTTTTAGTTTACATAAATATGATTATATTTTTCTGCGGGTTGTCTATATTTAAAATCTTTTACGGGTTAAGTTAAAATATAATTTTTTATTTACAACAAAATTGTCTCGCGATGTACCGCGGGTTTACCACATATATCTATGAATTTACTTATAATACAAATTTATAAAATTATATCAAATTAAATAAAATAAACATATACAAAACTAAATTATATAAATCAACTACGAAAATGATCAACCAAAGAAATATATTAAATTATGGACTCGTGGTGTAGCACGGAGTAAATCCTAGTAGAGATCCAAAGGTGCACCAAAAAAAAAAAAATAGAGATCCTAAGGTTTCTAAAATTACTGGAGCTAACTTGAAATTATTTTTATTTTGGTCTGTCTTATTTATTTTCCTAGTAATACTAATTCAATAAAAATAGTTTTAATATATCTATAGTGTAATTTTTTAAATAACTTATTCATCAATTTTTTTTATTTGCCAACCCAACTTAGTCTATTAAAACAAATCAGAAATTTGACCTACTACAAAAGATACATTTAATGTTCAAAACATGGTTTTAGACTATCATCAAGGTGGTTTTTAGAGATCACATATCAGCTATATTATATGAAGTTTTTATTTTGTATGTTTTTGAAATTATATAATTTTTATAGTAAATATTTTAATACTGTTTTAAGCGGCTACAAACGCTCGTGTGTCTGTCGGAGCATATGTAAAGTTAAATAATAGCGAGAAGACCATCCAACTTTACATATGTTTTGACTAGATTTTTTATGATAAGGTTTTAGATCGACACGTGCTAATCATCCGACAACTTTTTTCTACTTTGTAGGTGTTCTGATTAGGCATTTTTACGATATGCTTTTAGATCGACACGTGCTATCCATCCGACAACTTTTTTTCTAATTTGTAGGTGTTCTGATTAGACATTTTTACGATATGCTTTTAGATAGACACGTGCTATTCATCCGACAAAGATTTTTCATCTTAGCTTGTAGTTGTTCGATTTTCCTCTGATTCTGCTCGTATCTTGTCCTGTGGATTTGTAGATGTTCAGATTAGACATTTTTATGATATGCTTTTAGATCAACACGTGCTATTCATCCGACAACTTTTTTCTAATTTGTAAGTGTTCTGATTAGACATTTTTACGATATTTTTTTAGATCAACACGTGCTAATCATCCGACAACTTTTTATATACTTTATATAAATTCTAATTAAATATTTACATATCTAATTTTATACAATAAACATTAGATCGACACATGTCAATCACTCGACGATTTTTTTTTGAACGCCATATACAACCCACTTGGTGTATAAACAGCTCACTCAAAATACGTTACAACTAATTTGGAGTGTTTAAAGAAAATATAGACGAATATAAGAATAAATAAATTTACATTTACAATTTTTAATAGGTAATTTAACATATTACACATAAATACCAAATTATAAAGTGGAAAAAATTATTCAACTTTCCTTTTTACAATTGTTATTTAGTAGACTAAAATATTCAATTTAAATTGAACAAATGTAGAATTGAAATTGTTGACCAAAAATTACAGAAAGGAAAGGAAAAAAATACACAAATTAAGATATTAATCATGCCAACTTTATTTTCCCCCCAAAAAATTAGAGAAAGAAAATTAAATCCAATAATTCCAAAACATAAAACGTACAAAAAAGTTAATGATAAAAAAAACGTCTAAAAATCAAGAATACAAAACACAAAAAAAAAAAAAGGACAGCGTGGAGAGTAAAGCTATTGGTAGCATGGCTGCAACAGAAGGCCAAGTGTTTGGTTTACAATTTGTATTTTAACTCCTAGTGTCTTAATTAACCCAATTAGCCCCTTTCCTCCTTCACCCCTTCAGGGTTTATTTAACTTCCCCCATTTCTCTCGTTTCCTCTCTTTTTTATTTTTCTTAAACCACTCTTCCTCTTCCTCCTCTTCCTGAGTCCTCTTCAACAAACCAAAATAATTAAAAAAAAAATCACACTCCAAAAACTTGAGTCTGCTCATATTTTGTTTTGGTTTCTCAGAGTTTAATGAAGAAGCGCTTAACCACTTCGAATTCTTCTACTTCTCCGTCTTCCTCTGTTTCTTCTTCTACAACTACTTCCTCTCCTATTCAATCGCAGACTCCACGGCCTAAACGAGCCAAGCGGGCTAAGAAATCTTCTCCTTCTGGTGATAAACCACTCAACCCGACAAGCCCTGCTTCCACCAGACGCAGCTCCATCTACAGAGGAGTCACTAGGTTTTGTCTAATTAAAACGATTGCTTTCGAATTTGCTTCCTTCAGATTGGATTTGGGTTTTTTTCTGTAAACTGCATTTGTAATATTTGCATGTTTGTTTGTTGGATTGTACAGACATAGATGGACTGGGAGATTTGAGGCTCATCTTTGGGACAAAAGCTCTTGGAATTCGATTCAGAACAAGAAAGGCAAACAAGGTTTGGTTTTTGTTTGCTTAAACTCTTGTTCCCAGTTTTTTTTTTTTGATAAAAGATCTGGATATTAGCTGATTAAAAAGTTTGATTCTTTTATGATGTGTGATCTCAACTTTGTCTCTGTCCATCTGCAATTGCTTCTTCTACTCATCAGTCTATCTGGGTAAGTTGTCTCTAATTATCTGAAACCACCATTAGATCAGTTCCTTTTTTTTTTACTGAATTGAAAAAAGAGAGAGGAGAGGGTGGAATTGGTCAGAAGAATATCTCAACTGCCTCACGCGTAATTGCAGGAGCA